ATACAAAGACAAAAATCCCTCACCATGTTACATGGTTACACCTTAGCTGCAAGATTAGCTGCCACTAATAATTCTTGTAGAATTAAATGACATTCTTTGAACTATTACTGTTAATCCAATATATTTAGTGTCTCCCCCTCTTCTATCTGTCTACACACAACATGCCTCCATCATTGTAGTGTGCAAAATTGTGGATTCTGCATAGTTGCATATATGTTTTGGTATCAGCAGGACACACATGTCTGCTTTAGACAAGAAAATACACAAATAATATGATCCTTTACCAGAAAGCCAACATTTTAGACTACTAGTACTACTAGTTCTTGACTTGCTTTTATGCACAAATAGGTATTTTTGTGCAAACATACAGACAACCTTTCAAAAGGTTAACAAATCCTTAACTCTGGTTATAATTAACATATAAAATGGAATAATCATGTTTACAATAAGATTAGGCCGTAATATAAAAAGAAACAATTATTAAATGATCTATTGCTTGATCTCTTCAACCACCCACACAACAATAAAAAAAAGTCCTATAAACCAAAGAAATACATGGTGAAATATCACCTGTTTTGGGATCCATTTTAAACTTTAAAGTGCTGGAATCAATCACATCAATTAAAAAAATAATTAGTATACACCACTCCTTCATTGATTCAACATAATAAACATACAAGATATTGGAAAAATTGTCTTGTATGCAAACATTTCTAAAGCATAGGACGTCCAATGACTTTGGATCATGACTCCAAAGCAGGATACATGTATCTTGAGAACACAATGCAAATTCCTTTGCATTCAAAACAAACGGCATATTTCAAAAGCTTGAGCACTAGGCCTCTGTTAAAGACTCTCTCAGCATGCTCAAAGGTGGACTGTGAATGCAAAACCTGGTCTGCTGATGTTTATCTGGTGTAATAAACTCTGTAATAGACAACCTTTGGCCTCCAGAGGGAGTAGGAATTGTCAAATTTCAGAAGATGAACTCCTTGACCAGGATATTGGTGACTGCCTGCATAAACGTCCTCATGGCTGTCACGACGGGAAACAGGAGCAATCTCATGTACCAGTGGACATCGGCCCTGTTCTGTCTGCTTCTCTCCTTCTACTTGTTCTGTGCCTTAAATTAAAAATAAATATGATGTAATAAATATTTGATTAAGTATTTATCTCTTTGTCAAAGAAATCCATCCTGTTACCTTCTTTAGTTTCAGTAGTTTCAGTGCTTGCTGGCATGGTCATGTCCTTCCACTCAAAGTACAGCCCAAAACCGATATCGTAGTGATCGGTGGCGAATTCCCAAAACAGGTGTGAGCCATCCTGATGAGTGGGCACCCGTACCGTCAACACCTCCCCTCGGCCCACTGTGATCACTGAGTCCTGATCATGCAACACCTTTTCCTTAAACTCCTTAACCTGAGGCCGTGTCCACATAGAGGGAGCAATGATAGGTACTTCTGCATTTAAGAAAGAAAAAAAGGCAAAAAAGTGTTTTATGTCTGTTATTTTTGCTTGTATGCTAAAATAATCTTTTTACAAATAACTTTTATTTTACAATTATATTTGTATATTTTTATTACTGTGGAATACAACCAGAAAGAAGAGGCACAAATACCTAAATCTTAAAATAAAAAATAATATATACATAAAATACACTATTTTATACCATAATTTGGTATTCAAAAATACAGTAACAAGAATACTGTGAAATATTATTACAAATTAAAAGAACTGTATATTTATAAACTGTATAACTATATACAATTGGTTCCTGTGATGGCAAAGCTGTATGTTCTGCAGTCATTACTGCAGTCTTCAGTGTCACATGATCCTTCAGAAAACATTCTTATCTCATTCTATTATTTCTTCATATTTGTTTAATGAATAAATGAAATGGTAATGATAAAAGCCTTTACTATCATTACTATCATTAGAAAATAATGTGAAAGTCTTTATTATCACTGATAAATTTAAGAATGTTTAGATAGCGAGAGACATACAGACAGACAGACAGACAGACAGATAGACAGATAGATAGACAGATAGATAGATAGACAGATAGATAGACAGATAGTATATATGCAAATCGAAAGTCACTTGCATAGTTAGATAAAACACACCTCCTGTTTTGCCTTCTACAAACAAATGGAAGGCTTTTGAGTCTGTCTGTTGTTCCTGATTCTCTAATGAATTTGATTGGCTGTTGGGATTGCAGGTGGGCGCAGCTTCATTTGACACAGGAGAAGGAAGAGCTTCTGATATTTGATTCACATTTGAGTCCTGCTGCTTCTGCAAGGCCATCTGAAGTCATACAGGAGAAATGTAAAGGGTTTATGACATTTTTTTTATTATTATAACATGTTTCCTGGGGTTCAATTAAAATGAAGTATAAATGTTTTGTTCACAAAAACATATATTTGCAAAAATGATTATTTTCAACCCTCATTCTGACCTTCAATGCTTTTTAGTATAAACAATAACGTCCAATGTTACGATTGACTAATGTAATTTCATAGTAAAAAGTATCAACGCCCCCTCGTGATTGCACGTGAATAAATGTTCCGAAAACATTATCCATATAAAATCATCACTTACAAACAAAAATATTTGAAATTGTTTACTTTCAGTTTCGACAAAAGTTTCTGTGCAAACTCTCCATTAGACTGTGCCTCGTTTATGATCTGCAGTGAAATGCTCCTAATAAACATATGATCCTCCACCGTGCTCCGGGACATTCACCCGTTTCTGATGCTGAGGTCCTTTTGTAGGCTGTACAGATGAAAACATGCTTTAAACTGGACAAACGTAAATGTTCCTTTACTTTTCCATCTGTCCTGTTGTCAGTAGTAGCTCAAGCATTTGGACTACGTCAGAAATTGGCCAGACATCTGTATAGTCAGCGGCAGTGATTATAATGGGTTTATTCGCTTTTGACACAATGCAACACAACACGGTGTAAACAGGTGTCAGCTGTTAAGTGACTGAACACCAGTGGCCGTGGCCAATGGTGCGATGATGCATGACGATATTGGTGCCTTGCTCTAGAAGCATGACATACACAAATGTATATGCCAGAGTGATGTCACAAATCCCACAATATGCAAACAAGTCGTTTTTTGAGCTTTTTTTGTACCAAGGAGAATGTTTTAAGCGATGACACTTGCAGGATTTTTTAAAGGTTTAAGAATCGTGATAAGAAGCTTACTTGAATCTAAAGTCTCTGGTCGTACTCATACCTGCTGTAAGCGGAGGGCCTGGTGCATGTATTGTTGGTAGTGCTGTTCCTGCAGCTGTCTGATGAGTAACTGCTGCTGGTCTGGATTGTCTGGATACTGCTGTTTGGCATACTGTTGAAACTGCACTGCCGTTTGTGCATTCAGAACAGCCATGATCTGTTGTCTGTACACATAGATAGTAATACACATAGAGATAAACACTTTCTTAACGCTGAATTCTACTGAAAGCTGAGTTAAAACGTATTTATTTAAGTTTTGATTTTATATTCTAGGCTATATGCTATATATATATATATATAGATAGATAGATAGATAGATAGATATTTAGAGCAACTTTATGCTCAGAAAAGTGAAACCATTCATTGAATATCAGCAAACCACTAGCACTTACTTTTGCCGCTCTAACTGTAACCTCTCTGCCTCATCTTTTCTTCTCTGTTCCTCCTCTTTTATCCTCCTCTCTTCTTCCTCTCTGCGTCGTGCTTCTTCTTCCAGTCGCTGTCGCTCCTGCTCTTCTCTCTCCAGCCTGAGACGTTCTTCCTCTTCTTTTCTAAACACACAAACACACAGAATAAAATGGGCTTCCAACAAGTTTTAACAGATTAATAGACTACTTTATAAGCAACTTTAGGCACTGTAACTAATACAGAACACACCGTCTCTTCTCTTGTTCCTCCTTCTCAATCTTATGTGATGTCACATATGGTGCAAACAGACTACAACAGGAGTTCAGAAGCTTCACAAAGTCCTCCATGGCATCTTCTTTAGCCATGCTGCCCAGCCGTAGCCATTCTTTCCTGAGAAATGCAGTGAAGCAAACTAAATGAAGCATCTATAGACATTTTAGGATTGTGCTATATGGCTTTAAAAGAATAAAGAAGAACAAAACCCACTTTGTACTGCACATACATAATATGATTTTACACATCCTTACAAAACATGCTGTGGCGGTACCATGGTACAGAGAATATAATTTGGTAGTATGTGCATTCATATATGGTAATATATAGTCCATTATATGTGCATTAATATTTGGTAAGTGCATTAATATCAAGCTACCATATTATATGGAATTTATAATACTCTAATGGTCTTATACAGTCATAATTTGCACAAAAAAATTAGCGTTTTATACGCTTATTCCTCCATTACCTTCTGTCGTTTCCCAGTACATCAAAGAACCCAATTTCTGGACATGCGTTTGCATCATAAGGACCAATTGTGATCTGCTTATGTAGTGCAACCAAACGGAGATTTTCTTCATATGTTGGGTTGAACGCCTTCCCATTCATCTCTGTGTGAGGCAATGACAAAATTTACATTAACCATCGTGTACAACATCTAGGAGAACCTGAATAATGATTATTATGAATGGCATTTCAGTTCCTGAATGGGTGGAGTTATTACTACAGTGTATCTAGAATCTAGACCATCCAGACCAGGGGTTTTCAAACTGTGGGTCGCGACCCACTTGTGGGTCACAGAGTGGGACAAGGTGGGTCGCACAAAGTCACCTGGCTGCAGCTAAATTTGAGTTTCAATGACACACACACTCACACAGTTCAGTCTAGGGCTGCACGATATTCCAACATTAATTACGAATTGCAATATTCTTAGTGCGATTTTTGAATCACAATTAAGTCCGCGATTTAAAACGTGCATTGCGTGTTTTAAAGTGCGGGCGCGCACGAGTTGTAAAGGGTCTCAGAGCGACGTCATTATTATAAAGGTCGATCAGTCCACATTATTAATAGGAAGAAACTCGCTCACTTCACTGCGCTGTTTATTCTGCATGAGATTGCATCCACTGAAAATTCAAATGTTGCGAAAACTGTTTCAGGTATGTTAATTCATTTATATCGCTGTTTTCGTTCCTTATGCATTTGGCTACCTACCAATAAGGAAACTGTCTGTAAAAAGCATTTCACATGTACAGGCCGAGTGGGGCACAAACGGGGGGTTAATTGTAACACTACGCAATTTATACATTTCCACACGCTAGCATAACAATATTTACAAAATTCCGTTTTATTTCCTTGCCATATCATCTCTATATAGAGAAAAAAAAAACATTTATTTAACCATTGCAAAAATACATTTCTGACTGAAGTAAATTTGTCATCTCAGTTTTTAGTGTTTATTTAAAATGAGACACATCTGTTTATTATTTCTCCCCGTCCCCTATTTATTATTCGCTCTCCCCTACACACACGGAAGGAGCATGAATGCATTTTCTGCGCTGAAGCTCGCGATGAGTTTAACAACACTCACAGCGGATTACAGTTAACCGGAGTGAGCTTGTTTCGAGTTTTTATAGACATGGTTCATATTTTAACACCTGTAAACAGAAATTAAAACGTAAATATTAGTAGTGAAATTTTTCAGTTGTACTATAAAATAAAATGGTTATTTTTCGTAAATAATTAAGTTCTGCCATATTATACTTTTAATTAATATTAAGCTGAAAGTAGGCTAATGTCAATTGTTTTTTTTATCTCAAATATTTTGGTGGGTCGTGAAATAGGTTGTCTAGGTGGGTCGTGGAATGGAAAAGTTTGGGAACCCCTGATCCAGACAATGACTCGCAGAAAAAAAAAGGGACTTTAATTTTGTTTTGTGACGGGACAAAATAAAGAAAGTTGTAAACATTTACTGGACAAATAGAAAAGGGAAAGGGATAGTCTGGGTTATTTGGTAATCCGTTCAAGTTACCTTTAAAGAATTTCAGTGCAAGTTTGAAGAGCTCATCTAAAGTAAATCCCCAGTTTCTCTCCAAACTCCATGATTTCCGAGGTCCTTCATGATCCTCGCATGATTTACAGTCTTCCTCAGTGCCGGAGGCGTGAGTTTCGGTGTTAATGCCGTTCTCGCTGGTTTTCTCGATCTTGTCGCGGTCATGTTCTGCTCTGTCAAACTCCATCATGTCAAACTGTCAATACGAGCTGCTGCTACCGTTGCTGCTGTCACAGGTGGCCACGTAGCGCACAGAACACCTCTCTTCCGTATATTCCCACCGGAAATCCCGGATATTTGTCTTATTTTCAGCTCATTTAAACAGCATTCGCTTTTTAGTTACGTCTGTTACTGCGCAGGTCAAACCCGATATGTTCTCCGACGAGCCTTGCATTTGGTTTAATGCTAAAATGCTAAAATGTCACTTTGACATGAACATTACCTGTGAGCAGAATGCGCAAACTGACCTGACTCAACAAGTCGTATTGCAGCTATTAAACTGAACCACGTTTCCCTTCAAAGCAATTTTGAGATATGGAAAGAATTGTCAGATACTTGAGGAACTGTTACAGTCTTCTTGGTCACGCAGTTTATATTAATTGCTGGGATTCCTATTAAATTTTTTTCGTATTTTCATATGAAATACGCGAAAATATACTATATTTTCGCGTATTTCACATAAAACATAACAACTCTCGTTTTTTTTTATCTTTTAATCTTTAATGTTTAACTGAACAATTGTTATTGTTCTTCAAAAAAAAAAATTCTCACAATTATTTCAATGCAATTTTACTAAACTGTTCAGATTAAAGTAAATCTCAGCTAATTACAAAGAGAATAATGATACACCCAGTGTATGTTAAACAAGTCCAGCAAACCTCATGAAAAACTGGAAAGCCCAGAATCTGAACAGAAACAAGGGTTTCCAGTCTGGCATGTTATTTAAGAGAAGACACAAGATGGATTTGGCAATTTTATGGCAGTTTCAAGCTTTTGTCCTGTGATTTTTGCCAACTGTCATCCTCTTTCGTGTAAATTCAGTATTTAATCCTCTCCTTTACATTTACAGATTGAAATCACTGAATTAGGTTTTTAAAGGCACCCTTTTGCCATCAGAGACCTTTGCAGCTACAATGGAGTGATTGGAATGAAATACAAAGAACGTCCAGAATCTCTCAGGATTCTATAGAACACACGGTTACTCTCAGAGGTGAGAGCTTTTCATTGACAAACATTAAAACCTTAATAAGGTATCAGTCTTATGTAAATGTTAGAACAGACTTTTATTTATACAGTGAGTTGTTCTGAAAAAATACATTTGGAAGTAATTATAATTTGTAACCAGATTCATCAAACTGTATGAATATGCACAGTAGTCATTTAATCATGAGTATTAAATTAATATGACAACCATTGTAGCCTAACCTGAATCATAAATAATGTAATATTTATATTGCAATAAACTATGATGTAATTCAATTACCATAAGTAAACTAAAAGTCACATATATGATATTAGTAGCCTATTCAATAATATTATTTAAAAAGGCACTATATATTTATATAGTGACTTATATATCATTTTGAGATCACATGACCTGAGAAATACTACTCACTTTATCTCAGTATTATTATCCCTATTATAAGACAGCTTCAGTTACAAAATAAATGAATCATTTCTACAATGAGATAACAAAATTACTTTGTGCACAAATCATTTACCTGTTACATGTGACCCTGGACCACAAACCAGCCTTAAGTAGCACGGAAAGTTGATGTATTCCCTCAGCGACCAGCACAGATCAGCTCCAGTCATGACGAAAGGAAAGGAAAAATTGAAATCGCATCATATGACCCCTTTGGGCCAAATATTGTCCTATCCTAACAAACCATACATCAATGGAAAGCTTATTTATCCAGGACGATGTATAAATCTCAATTTTGAAAAAAATTAAATTAAATTTTGTGGTCCAGGGTCACATATATAATGTACGTTTCACTAAGAGCACATAGAGGTCATAAAAGCACAAGTGCTTTTGTTTTCACAGTATAATCTGCTCACGACAAAATTCTCAGAATTGTTATTTCTTTGGTAATTAATGTTCTTCTCTCAATGCCTTTGCTGTTGTGCATTTTAAACTCTGAGGACTTTTAAAGTCAATGTGAATTTCCACCTGCAACCCATTTTACTTTCATAAACATATTTCCGAGTGAAACAGGATGTCTAAAAAAATATGTGGAGCAGGACTTGATTTTACCCATCAGGAATTAAGTGGCTTGTGGGTCAAATGTGTAATTAATATATATTTGGCTTTTAGCTAACATTATCCAATAGCCTGTGCTGACCAGCAGAATTTTGCTTAAAGATTACAACAACATACATTATTTTTATTTTTCCTTTGGAATAACATGCACAGATAAATCATACACAAGACCAGGCATGTGCATTAGGAAAGTAAACAGTCCATTTTGATTCAATCTGACTTTAAATTGGCTTTGCTGTGTCTTACACCTGCACTGCCCATGGAATAAAGGTGCCAGGATCCGCAGGAGGACACTAAAATAAACGCAAACATACAATGTTCAACAAACTTCAGTAGGCCCTGTCAAAAGCAGCTGATATGATATCAAACAATAAAACCACATCAAGCAGCTCCATGAATGCCATATTTGATTCTGAAGTTGTATGTACGCTACCATTCAAAAATTTGAAGTCAGTTTTTGACAGAAGTCTCTTATGCTCACCAAGGCTGCATTTATTTGATCAGAATCTATAAAAACAGTAATCTTGTGAAATATTCTTACAATTTAAAATAACTATTTTCTATTTCAATATAGCTTAAATGTAATTTATTCCTGTGATGGCAAAGCTGAATTTTCAGCATCATTACTCCAGTATTCAGTTTCACGTTATCTTCAGAAATCATTCTAATATGATCATTTGCTGCTCAGGAAACATTTCTTGTTATTATTAACAGTTGTGCTGCTTAATATTTTTGTGGAAACATTTTTTCAGGATTCTTTGATGAATAGAAAGTTCAAAAGAATCGCATTTATTTGATTAAGTCCTTTATAACATTAGAAATGTCTATTTCATGCATCCTTGATGAAAAAAATGGTCCAAAAAATCGAGTCCAAACGTTCAAATGGTAAAGTCTGACTTGATTTAAATGTGTATAACAACATTCACATCAAATCTGAACCTGAAATGACCATGGTTCAGATTTGATGCCAATGTGTAATTATGCATTATATGAAGCCAACAGTCAACAGTGAAAGTTACTACATACCAGTTTAGTAAACTTGTCTTCACAGGCATTTCGTATCCGTTCAGGCGTGGCGGGGCTGTCCAGTCGGAAGGGTCCAGTCAGATTGGACTCAGCCCTGGCAGCTGTGATGGCATCTTTAATGGCATAAAACACTGAGGCTGCCAGAAAGAGAGGAGGCTCACCCACAGCCTGAGTAAAAACAGAGCCATAAGAGTTAACAGACTCAAACTATGATCTTACAGGGGAGTTAGTTGTTGTGGTTCATCTAACCTTTGAGGAGAAGATGGCCTTCTCATTAGGAGTGTCTCTGAGCAGCGAGACCTTTAATTCAATGGGAATATCCCCAAAAGCTGGAATCTTATACATCCCAGGTCCACGAGTATACAGGTAACCATCAGGAGAGTAGCGTAGTTCCTCCAGCGTGAACAGACCTAAACCTTGCATGAACCCACCCTCCACCTGCACACACAGCCACAAATCAGATTATATTTAAAGGGTTAGTTCACCCAAAAATGAAAATTAGGCTGCGTTTTACTCACCCCCGAGGCATCCGAGGTGTATATGACTTTCTTCTTTTAGACGAATCCAGTCGGAGTTATATTAAAAATTGTCTTTGATCTTTCAAGCTGTTTAATGCCACTCAGCGGGTGTTGCATTGCTTCAGTCCAAAAGAATAAATCCCATCCATAAAAAAAGTGTCTCACACGGCTCCGGGGGGTGAACAAAGACCTTCTGTAGCGAATCGATGAGTTTTTGTAAGAAAAATATCCCTATTCAAAATGTAATAATCACTTGAATCTAGCTTGCGCTCACTGTTGTAAACAGAAGCAGTTCCGGGAGGATGACGTATGGAGGTCGGCTTTGCGCATGCACTCAGAAGTGACGCATGCGGAAGCGCAGCGGAGAGATCAAAACAAAACAACGGTCAAGAATTAGAAGTACAAAACGAGGATTTGTAAAGAAGAATGTCAGAGGATTTCGATATAAGCCAAGAGGAGACTGGTTTTCCTTTGCTAAAGTAAGGAAACTTTGCTTCCTTTGATCCTGTAAACAAACGTTGGTTTTCACGAGCCTCACCGGCGCATGCAAAGTGCTGAACTCATACGTCATGCTCCCAGAACTGCTTCTGTGTACAACTGTTGGCGCAAGCTACATTAAAGTGATTATTACATTAAAGTTTTGAATATGGATATTTTTCATCGATTCGCTACAGAAGGACTTTGTTCACCCCCCGGAGCTGTGTGAGACACTTTTTTTTTTTATGGATGGGCGATTTTTATTTACATTCAAGACAATTTTTAATATAACTCCGACTGGATTCGTCTGAAAGAAGAAAGTCATATACACCTAGGATGCCTCGGGGGTGAGTAAAACACAGCCTAATTTTCATTTTTGGGTGAACTAACCCTTTAAGATGAATTGACAATGGTGTGATCCGTTTGATTAAATTTAGATGAAATACCTGTCCAATGTCCAATGCTGGATTTAAACTCTTGCCCACATCCATGACTATGCATGTATGAAGATTCTGACAGGAGAGATAGTTAACTTTGAAGTATGGATCTCAAATATATAATCTATTATGCAGACCAGTTGTCCTGTTGTCAGTAAAACTGGTATTTGAACATAACAAATACACGTTTCACACTGGCATTACCTTATGACTGCCAGTTAGACAGTCTATCTCCACCTCTGAGACGGCCACGCCATAACTGAAGTAGTTAAATGGCCTTCCTGAATTTGTTTCAAAATCATAGCCAAGATCTGGAGTCCTATAAAATATAATCAAATGAATAATAATTCCTAAATTCTATGAGGACCAACAAGATTAGAAATGATTCAATTATAGCTGAAGAAACCATTCTGAAATTAACATACTTGTAAAATCCATTGGCAGACAAATTAACTCTGTCGAAATATGCTGCTTTCACCTGCAAATGTGAATACAATGTAATATATAAAATACATAAAAATATGAAACATTCGATGAATAATTGCATACAAAAACTGATACTGACCCAATCCTCCCAGCAGCCTTTGAGGTTTTTGTCTTTGTAAGGCTGAAGTCTCTGTAGTAATGTCTGGCAAGCGTTCTGTGGAAAAAAATCAGGGTGTTGTATGTAAATGTTGTGTTGTATGCTGTATGTCAATATTTGTTGACAAATATTGATTTGAAATATTGTGGATTAGTTAGATGGCTGACAAAGTACTGTTCAAAACTTTGGGGTCGATAAAAATGTTTTAATGTTTTTGAAAGAAGTTTCTTTTGCTCGCCAAGGCTGCATTTATTTGGCCAAAAAGTACAGTAATAATGTTAAATATTATTGCTATTTAAAATAACTGATTTTAATATATTTTAAAATATTATTTATTCCTGTGATGGCAAAGCTGAATTTTCAGCAGCTATTACTCCAGTCTTCAATGTGACATGATCATTCAGAAATCATTCAGATATGCTGATTTGTTGATATTAAATAGTTATTAAATTATTATAAATGTTGACAATAGTTTTTTTCAGGATTTTTTGATGGCTAGAAAGTTCAAAAGAACAGCATTCATTTCAAATAGATTTTCTTTCTAGCATAGTAAAAGGCTTTACTGTCACTTTTGATCAATTAAATGTGAAAAAAAAAAAACTTCCTGACCCAAAACCTTTGAACGGTAGTGTACATAAAAAAGTGTCATAAATATGAATATCTGCTGCATGAGGCTTACATAGATGGCCATGCCGTTAAGATCTGAGGAGGCGGAGGCGGCCGTAGGGCTGGTGTTGGGAACTGTGTTAGTGCTGGTCTCTGTGATGTGAATCTTTGAGCAGGGGATTCCAAGAGTTTTACTGGCCACCTGCACAACACAAAAATTAATACGAACAGTTGTGACAAATAATTTAATATAGTATTTTTGTTGTGCCTTGTTTGCATTACCTGGACCATTTTAGTGTGCAGGCCTTGTCCCATCTCTGTTCCACCATGAGTTAGTAAAACCGAACCATCTGAGTACACAAGTACCAATGCTCCTGCCTGAATTAAAAATAACCATCATACACATAATCGCCTCTTTCTAATAATTATTTAGAGCCTGAGAGGAAAAGGGCTGACCTGGTTGAGGAAGACAGCAGTGAAGCTGATTCCAAACTTGGTGGGAATGATGGATAATCCTCTTTTGGTCCAACGATGCTGCCTGGAATTAAAGTATTACAGCAATCCTTACCCAACAAGCTATGCAGTACCTAAACTGAGAAAATGTTTATAGCAATATACAAATAAAATCGAACAATAAAGTGCTGGCTCTCTGGCTCTGACTTATAGAATTGATGCTGCCTAGTATTATTATACATTGTATACGTTATATATTTATATGTATATAATATTGTAGTATTTTTTTTATATATTTTAATTTTATATTAAGTTTTAGTAAGTTTGTTATGTGCTTTTGTAATTGTTATTTATTTTTTTATATATATATTTGTTTCTATTTCAGCTTTAGTTTAAGTAATTTTGATACTTTAACCTGAATTTATGTTTTTCAGTTAATTGCCAATGCAACATTCTTATTTTGTCCTTTAATACTTTTTTTAAGTTTATCATCTATTTTTTTTTGCTTTATTCCAATGAACAAAAAGGATTTTTAAAAGTTTTTGATTTAGTTAACAATAACAATACTGATGCTGCTCTAGTGACACTGAAAAGTGTACAGTGTATGATATTAGTATAAAATATTAAAATAAAACAATACAATTAATTTAATTTGTTTATAAAAGAGCAACTGAAGGAGAGAAAGAGATTTATATTATTTATTATTATTTACTATTTATTTACATTTTGTTATTATTTTTATTATCTTATAATGTCAGTAAAGGTTTTAAAAGTTAATATAATTTATATCAATACACTCAAAATATCAAAGAAAACATGTTTTCTTACTATACGCCTCTTTAAACTGCACAAGCTTTTGGTTGTGTTGATGAGCTCAATATTTATGATTATTTCTAACCTGTTGTATTGTTCCGCTGCATCCTTGCGCTTGTTGAAGTCTGAGAGCTGCATGCACTCCTCCCAACAGCGATCGATGGTGAACTGGTCCAGACGTTGATTGAAGGGTGTGAAATCCCCCTCCTTGTACATGTTCATCCTCCTCACCTGGAAGTAGTAGAGAGTTCTGTTACATGTGACATTAATGTTTGTGTACTATGGACTGTGAGAGAGAGAAAGTTGCAGTATGAACCTCTTCAGCAGGCAGACCACAGCTCAAAGCCACATCACTCATCCAGCTCTCTGCGATCATCATGCCCTGCGGCCCACCAAAGCCTCTGAACGCTGAGTTAGACGGCAAGTTGGTTTTACACATGTAGCCTGTGCCACGGATGTTAGGAATGTTGTAGGAATTATCCATGTGGAATAGTGCCCTCTCCAGGATCTGTGCATTGATAGACATGATACACATTTAGGCTTCGAATATAAGAAAGAATATCTTGCAATGTGGTCTTATTGACCACCAGGGGGCGATAGATGTTCAAAACTTTTGAGATGCCTACTCACTGACAATGACAGGTCCAGCGAATTGCCTGCGTTGCTGTAGAGCGTCACTTCAAGTGCCAGCACTCTTCCATTGTTCATGTACCCAACCTAGACATCAGATTACAGAGCGATAGTGAATGAGAATAGTCTAGCAAGGACGAGGACAATAGTGTGTGACCACATGTCCTTGCGGGGATTTCTAAATGGCCTAAAATAGCTGGGTTTTGGTTTTGTTTTCTTATTGTTTTTTTATACTTGCTGAAGGTAATGACTAATATGTAGTTTGACCAATAGTGTACAGACATTATACTTAATCGACCAATCGTGGTGTGCTAGAAGGTGGGATCGACAGAGAACGGTCAAAGCAATGCACGTATGTGTACATTTAATGCATGAGGACTGTAAAGTGCATGTCAATAGAAAACCAAAGCCCAAACCTTGGCATTTTAGGCAATTTAGAAATCCCAGCCAAACCTGAAGGACAATATCTGGCTAATTTGCACAATTTTTCACCTTGTAATGTCCAAAGAATGGATGCCGACCACCTGTGACCAGCATGTCCTCATCGCGATCTAGCATGCAGCGAACTGGCCGCTTGACCCTAAAAGAGAAAGGCCAAACTAAACGTTTACCCTTCACATTGCTACTTACAACATCACTGTATGTAAATAGGCACATTAACACGGTTACATTAGTTTGTGTTATATTCATACGTATGTGCGGCAACAGCAACCACAGTGGACAGAATGGTGCTCCGACTCTCTTTCCCTCCAAATCCTCCTCCCATCCTCTTTACACGGCACACCACCCGGTTGGCAGGCACTCCCAGAGCTTTAGCCACTAGGGCCTGAGGTAAACACAGCACATGATTTGCATTAGGACAGTACAATCAACTATATATCACATCATTAATAATCCTATCATATTTTTGGTTACTAATTAATTAACCATTTTAAATGAGAGGAATCATAGCATCTGCTGTTTGTCTGTCTATCTGTCTGTCTGACTGACTAAGGGTTTTTCTATTTGATTTGGGCATGTAAAACCTTCTAACATGATGCTTATTTAATTTGTTAAATTATTATATTATTTATTTTCTATTATATTATTTTTAAATAGAATTTATATTAATCAAATATTATTTTAAAATTAAATATTGAAATAAAAATAATTTAAAAAATTATTAATCATATTTTGTCAAGCTATCATCACCATTCTTATATGTCTTGCGCAGTTTAAACTCTGTTTTGATTGAGAATGTGGATATAAATCAATATCTTTCACCAGTCCCCTACAGAGAGTGATTTATTTTGTTTACTTGAGTCTTGGAGGCCGACTGTGTGGACACAAACAGCTCCATTTCTCCATCCTCTCCACGAGGGACTGCAAGTGTGCAGTTAGTCTCCAGATAAAACTGTTCCTGCCCTCCAATGTGCATCTCACCTGCAGAATCACATATTTAGTGTCAGCTCATGAAATGAAAGAGGAACAGGTCTGCACAAGAATCGTTTTATATAAATGGCAAGGAAGAAAACTGCAGATCTACCACAGAATTTGTGCAGAGTACAGACTGTCTGTTTCATAAAACACATGGTTTTAAATAATGTGAATCTTTATTAGATAACTTTCATTCTTCACAAAGAGGCTTAATGCAGTGTCACTATCATTTTAAATAAAAACGTCTCAGGTTACTTATGTAACCATGGTTCCCTGGTGTTTTTTCAATGTATGCTTCAGACACGGGTCACGATGAGGTGTTCCCCATAGCGACCCCTAGAGGACGCAGTTCGAAGTTCCCATGAAAGGGAACAAGGTTATACCGTGCAGGATGTGATCAGAGTCTTTGAATCCTTGTGCAACATCTCCTCTCTCTATACTTCTCACCGGCTGAAAGAAGGACTTGTTGGCAATAGCATCCTGTTTGAAAGAGTGAACGTAAACATGTTAGCAAACCAGTCAAGCTTATCTCTATGTGTTATATGTATTTTGAACAAGCTGTTTCCCTGAAAACCTTGAAAAATCCTGTTATGTAATGATGACAGCAGGAAAACCACTAAGCAGGGGTGAAAGGTCAGAGCACAGCACCAAATGTTTTGCGATAATATTGTGTGGTTCAGTGGTTTTGAAACCAAAAATTGGCTGTCGGTCATATTTTCAGTCCTATGAGGATTACATTTCACTGTTTGATTTTTTTAAAGGCCTTTTGTGTATAATTTTCAATACACAAATGTATGTGAACTGTAAAATCCTTTGGTTTGGTTTTGGTGTCTGGATCCTGACATCCAGGCACTTTTGTCTGTCTCATGTCTTGTTTTCTGTTAGAGCATGTGGTTTGTGTTGATGTTCATTTGCCATGTGCTCTTCTGTCATGTCATTGTTTTTGGTGTGAGCATGTTTGTTTCTGTGTGCCATGTGCCATTCTGTCTCCTGTCTAGGTCTTTTATTTTCCAGCTCTGTGGGCTGAAGTCAGGTCAGATGCACCCATTTTTGTGTTACTTTTCACATTTTTTGTAAATATGAGAACTTGGTGGCTGTGTTGCATTTGGGTTCTGTCCACCACACACGACAAAACCATTGTTCCATAGCTAGATGATTCTATTTGCTGTGGTGAGAGTACATGTGAATGTGAAGTAAATACAGACCTGAATGGTGACAATCACAGGCTGCAGTTCCTCATAGCTGATCTTCACAGCTTTGGCTGCTCTCTGAGCATGGGCCTGTGTGTCTGCCACAAAGGCCCCCACTATATGTCCAACACATGTGACCTAGCATGAAAGATCAGTGTTAGGACTCTACATGAGTAAACAAAAGCGACACATTATATGTATGTGAGACACATCACGCATTCCAATCATAATGATACCAATCAAAAGTTTGGGGTTGGTAACATTTTTGAATGATTTTCCTCATCACAACTGCTTTAATTTAATAACGTAAATAGAGTAAAAAGAGTAATATTGTGAAATATTATTACAATTAAAAAATAACTTTATATTTTAATATATTTAAAAATATATATAATAATTTATTCTTGTGATGAAAAGCTAAATTTTATTACTCCAGTCCTCAGTGTCACATGAAATCATTCTAATATGCTGATTATTTACATACTATTAATATTAAAAACAGCTGTACTGCTTAATATGTTTGTGGAGACTGAGATACATAATTATTTCATGATTCGTTGATAAATAAAGAGTTTAAAATAACAGGATTTAATGTAATAAAAATAAGCATTTTACTTTAAAATAAGTCTTTTATTCAAAAATAAAGTCTGTACTGTCACTTTCGATTAATTTATTGCATCCTTACTGAATAAAATAATTAATTTCTTAAAGCAAAAAATAAAAATCTTACTGATCCCAAACTTTTGAACAGCAGTTTATAACACTGTCAATGACACACATCAAAGACATATGAAAGATTTAAATCTATTTAAATAAAAGTGATTCAAACATGTATGGAAGCTCATTTCCAACTCAGAAGGAAAAAGGTAATTGTAAAATATATCCCAATTTACATGTATTTCTTCGTAACTGTGACCTAATTTCTCATAAATTAGATTTAGTATCTCGCAATGTGCCATATCTGTAACAAAGTGACTTAATTTCTCTTACTTTCTTGCAATTAACT